ATCTCTACAATGAATCAAAAAATTAGCTGGGTGTGGTAGCGCGCGCCTGTAGTTCCAGCTACTTGGAAGGCTGAGGTGAAAGGATCACCTGAGTGAGCAGGTTGAGGCTGCAGTGACTGAGAGCAGCCACTGCACTCCAGCCTGGGCGACAGAGTGAGACTCCAACTCAACAAAAGAAAAAAAAAGAAATGCTTTACAGTTAACAAAATGTTTTCACAATTATTAGGTGATAGACTTGTACCACAACTATTATATAGTGTTGGCAGGCTTTATTAGCCCCACTTAACACAGGAGGAAACTGACTTTCAGTAAGTAACTTGGTTCCAATCTTACAGTAGTAAGTAGTGGAAGTAGAACTCAAACATGGACCTTTTTTTTTCCTTGAGTCAGAATCTCACTCTGTCACCCAGGCTAGAGTGTAGTGGCACACTCACGGCCACCATAGCCTCGACCTGCTGGATTCAGGTGATCCTTCTGCCTTAGTCTTCCAAGTAGCTGGAACTACAAGTATGTACTACCACGCCTGGCTAATTTTTTTATTTACTCTAGAGATGATGTCTTACCAAGTTGCCCAGGCTGGTCTCGAACCAGTGAAATCAGTCAAGCCTCTTACCTTGGCCTCCCAAAGTGCTGGGATTATAAGTGTGAGCCACCATGCCCAGCCAAATCCTGTATTTCTAACAAACTCTCAGGTGATGCCCATCTCCTGGTCTGTGGATAACTGAGTGGAAAGTATCACTATCCAGTAGAATTTTCTGCAGTGATAGAAATGCTTTACTGTTAACAAAATGTTTTCACAATTATTAGGTGATAGACTTACCACACCCAGCCAATTAAAAAATTTTTTTTTGAGTTGGAGTCTCATTCTTGTCACCTCGGCTGGAGTGCAGTGGCACATTCACGGCCACTGCAGCCTTCCAAGTAGCTGGAACTACAGGCATGTGCCACCATGGCTGGCTAATGTTTTTGATTTATTGTAGAGATGAGGTCTCGCCAAATTGCCCAGTCTGGTCTCGAACTGAACCCCAGGTTCAGGCAATCCTCTCTCCTCTGCCTCCCAAAGTGCTGGGATTACAGGCTAAGCCATAGTGCTTGGCCCCAGCTAATTTTTTGTAGAGATGAGGTCTGGCCAAGTTGTCCAGGCTGGTCTTAAACCCCTTGGGTCAGGCAATCCTCGCCTCTGCTTTCCAGAGTGTTGGGATTACAGGTGTGAGCCACCATGCCTGGCTAATATAGACCTCTTGACTACTGGTATTCTTTCCATCATATAACCTTGCCATCCAGGTGACACTGTCTTCTCCTGAGTCAGAATCTTATTTCAGAACCTAGTGAGTAGTCTGGTGCAAGGAGAGAGAAAGTGGAGAGATGTATATACTGGGGTAAATTTGTCCCTTTCCAGTAGTGGGGGCTCTGCTTCTAATATTTTACTAGATGACCTCAGGGCAAAGTACTCATTTTGGGTCACCTTTTGGGTCCCCATAGGAAACACTTCAATATTTGTGCCTGAGCAGTGTTAAAAGGTGGAAGTCAATCCAGAATTGGAACCATGCATACAAATAAGGGTCTGAAAGAGCCATAAAGAAGTTGGGCTTTGCTGGGCATGGTGGCTCACACCTGTAATCCCAGCACTTTGGAATGCTGAGGCAAGAGAAGTACCTGAGCTCAGGGGTTCCAGACCAGCCTAAGCAACATAGTTAGACCTTGTCTCTACAAAAAATAAAAAAATTAGGACTGGCTGCAGTGCCTCATGCCTATAATCCCAGCACTTTGGGAGGCTGAGGTGAGAGAATTGCCTGAGCCCACGGGTTGGAGACCAGCCTGTGCAACTTGGCGAGACCTCATTTCTAGAATAAGTCAAAAAATTAGCCTGGTGTAGTGGCACACGCCTGTAGTTCCAGCTACTTGGAAGGCTGAAGTGGAAGGATCACCTGAGCCCAGCAGGTTGAGGCTGCATTGGCTGTGAGCATCCCACTGCACTCCAGCCTGGGGGACAGAGTGAGACTCTGACTAAAAAAAAAAAAAAAGTTGGGCCGCCTGAGCTGGGAGAGAGAAGACTGAGGGACTTTGCATGCAGGTATCTGCAAAGAGGATTTTTCAGAGGGTGAAACAAGAGGAACTGGTTTTGATATTTCAGCAGGAAGTCTGGAAGTTATGTAACAAAGCAGGTTGAGATCCTGCCGTTTAGAAGCAGCCTCAACCTCTTGGAGGAGAAAGCCGGTGGGCACAGTGCTCTCTTCTACTGTAGTAGGTTTTCCCTTGGAGGCATAACCCTTAGTGGTTTCTCTGTTACCATGACAATGATAGGGGTTCCTGGTCTCAGAGAGTCCCACTTCCTTCTGGGAATTTAAAATAGACTGGTATATGTGAGCGATGGGGGCAAGGGGGTAAGTCCTGCCTTAGGACTTCTCATCAGGGGATGCTGGTACCTGGTAACCCAGCTTGACAAGCTGAGACAATGCAGTGAAATCACGTTCTGGAACAGAATCCTTCATTGCTCTGTCTTCCAGTTGCTCTTACCCTCTGCCCTGCAGAGCATGCAGTCTGCATGTGCCCAGCAGAATGTCCTCTGGTTTGAGCCCTGCTGTATTTTTCCTGTGTTGACAGCATGACGACTCAGCCTCTAAGCTTGGTCACTCCACAGACATACTGGGGAGCCAGCAGCAGTTCTTGGTTTCTCTGGAACAAAGCCCAGAGAAGTCCCTGGGGATCTGCTTGGCCAAAAGCTTATGCTTAACCCTTGGGTGACCTGTGGTCATGAGGGCATTAAATCTGCCTGCCCCTCCAGGAGTGGGAATGACTTGGCTTTAAACAGAGTGATTTCTGTTAGAATCCTTCAGCCCCCACGGGGTAGAAGGCATGGTGAAGGAGAGGAGAAATCTTGGTTCATATTCACCTTGAGCTGCATGACCTTGAGCCTGTTACTTTCAACCGTTCTGATCCTCGATTTCCTCACTTATCAGAAGTCTAACTACACAGGTTAAGTTGTAAAAGTTGTAAGGAGTACATGAGGTAGGAGTCAGTAAATCCTAGTGTTTCTCTGTTACCTCATCTCTGGCATTAGAAACATGATCTCCTGGCTGGGCTCAGCCTGTAATCCCAGCACTTTGGGAGGCCAAGGTGAGTGGATTGCCTGAGCCCGCAGGTTCGAGACCCTCCTGGGCAATTTGACGAGACCTCATCTCTACAACAATCAAAAATTAGCCGGGTGTGGTAGCGCGCGCCTGTAGTTCCAGCTACTTGGAAGGCTGAGGCGGAAGGATCGCCGGAGCCCAGCAGGTAGAGGCTGCGGTGGCTGGGAGCGGCCATTGCACTCCAGTCTGGGTGACAGAGTGAGACTCCAACTCAAAAAAACCCAAAAAACAAAAACAAACATGATCTTGGGACCCTGGATGACAGTTTTGAAGGGCTCAGAGAAGGCTGCCCTGCTGGACTCTGTGGAGCAAGTGGCACATGGTGTTCCGGGGATCTCCTGGCTGCAGAACCCCCCACTTCTAGTTCATTTTCTAGTCTGACCAACCCAACTGACTTCTGTCTTATTTCCTAGCCACTGTTCTCTCTTCTCGCTGTCTCCATGCATTCCTCCTCATTCACACTGCTTTGTCCTGCAGGAAACCTGTCCCAGTGATGTGCACCTCACTCATGCCTCACCTTGAAGCTGAGGTTTCAGCCCTCAGGTACTCGGTTTGCAATATGGGTACACCATACTTGAATGAAAGGGATGCAGTCTGGCTCAGGGAGTCCCTGAAAACCAATCTAGCTTCCTCACTGATTTCCATGGAACAAAAGCTACCTGAAGCTTTTTGGTTGGGGAAGGTGGTTGAGGATGGACTCTGATTAAACACTTGGTATGAGGTTTGCCATGGAACTGCTTGTATAGAAAGTTTCAGCTTCTTAGAATTGTTCCTGTGATCTGGCCACCTCCTTGCCTAGCCCTTAGGGATTTTTCCTAAAGCCTGGGGAAGCCCTGCTTCTGACTTCCTGGAATTTATCTACCCACTCTCCCTTTTTGGCTGAAAATTTTCATTCTTTTTTTTGAGTCTCACTCTGTCATCCAGACTGGAGTGCAGTGGCCGCTGCCGGCCACTGCAGCCTCTACCTGCCGGGCTCCGGCTATCCTTCCGCCTCAGCCTTCCGAGTAGGGGAATTACAGGCATGCACTACCACGCCCGGCTAATTTTTTGATTTATTGTAGAGATGAGGTCTTGCTGCCCAGGCGGGTCTCGAACCCGCGGGCTCAGGCAATCCACTCACCTCAGCCTCCCAAAGGCACGGGATTACAGGCTGAGCCACTGAGCCCGGCTGAAAATTTTCATTCTTATACAACAGGTGTGGGCTACGTTGGAGCACATCACATAATTACTAAGTATATGTCTAATATATGAAGTCCTGTGATTTGACATTTTCCAAATGTGAAGCTCAAGCAAATGCTGATTTGATACAACTTTTACGTTAGTTGGCTTATTAATCTTGTTTGAAATTTTAGGCATTGGATGCACTTAACATGAGGCCCACAGGCACATTCACTTGCACTGATTTCTTCCCTCTGTATCTTATATTTGTTTCCCAGAGCGTTACTGTGTCTCCCTGAACAGACTGAGCTTCTGAAAGGCAGAGTCTATCTTCTCTGTTCCTTCTCTCCCTTCATTATCTAGGACGGAGGTTCTGATGTTGTGGTTTATGTGCTTAGGGTTGAAAGCACAAGGTCAAACATGTTCTCTACTTGTAGTTCCCCTGACTCTTCAGGGAAATGACTGAGCTCTCAGGTGCGTCTTGTCTGTCTTCTCAGAGTGAGTTATCTAATAACCAAAGAGGACTCTGGCCTTTGGCCTGTTCCTGACTTTCTAACTCCTTTTACTGTAGGGGGGGTGTGCCCTGTGGTGTGCAAGCCCAACTTGCCCTCTTCCCCACACTTTCTTCTAGTGCAGACTGCAGAAAATAATGTGTAAGTGTAGTGAGTGGGTCAGAGGGGCTCAGTGGGCCAGCATAGGAAACCAAAAATAAAATGAATCAGCTTGGTAAATGGTGACAAGAGGCACCCTGCTGAGTACCAGGGGTAGTACTTCTCAGTGGGCCCGTGGGCATCAAAAATGGAGCACTCCCTTTCAGCCTTCTGGAACCTCCAAGTGTCACTTAGTGACTTCCCATTACCCACTTAAAGGCCCTACATCTTGCCAGGTGGTTGGTTTGTTCACAGCATCCTGAGTTCTGCCTAGGTAGGCCAGACAAGGAGAATGGTACCTGACCAGGGTGGTGACACCAGGGCCCAGGCAGAAGATAGAAGATCTGTTAAGCTGGGGATAGCAAGCTGAGGTGGGTGTGAAACAAGGAGAATCACTGAGATGAGGAATGGTTTCTGAAGGTGGTAACCTGACTTGGGAAGGTCTGGTCAAGGACAAAGAAAGGGGCAGTATCCTGATCTGTGAAGAAAGACTTGGGTATTGACAGAACCAGGCTGGGTAAAGTCTAAGCTTTGGGGAGGTGAGTATCCAGGGGATGAGGCCTCAGAATGGGACTTCAGAGCCTAGCCAGGAGGGGAAAGTACAAAGTTTTGGCCTTCTTCCTCACATTCCTCTGCCCTGCTTAAAATCCTAGGCTTTTGGGCACAATGGAGGACAAACGTAACATCCAGATCATTGAGTGGGAACATCTGGACAAGAAGAAGTTCTACGTATTTGGTGTGGCGATGACAATGATGATCCGTGTCAGTGTCTACCCGTTTACCCTCATCCGCACCCGGCTGCAGGTTCAGAAGGGCAAGAGCCTCTACCATGGGACATTCGATGCCTTCATCAAGATCTTGCGGGCGGATGGTGTGACTGGCCTCTACCGGGGGTTCTTGGTCAACACTTTTACTCTCATCTCTGGCCAGTGCTATGTCACCACTTATGAGCTTACTCGGAAGTTTGTAGCTGACTACAGCCAGAGCAACACTGTCAAATCACTGGTGGCTGGTGGCTCGGCCTCCCTTGTGGCCCAGAGTATCACAGTGCCCATTGATGTAGTCTCCCAGCACCTGATGATGCAGCGCAAGGGTGAGAAAATGGGCCGCTTCCAGGTGCGGGGGAACCTGGAGGGACAAGGGGTAGTTGCCTTTGGCCAAACCAAGGACATCATCAGACAGATCCTGCGGGCTGATGGGCTTCGAGGCTTCTATCGAGGCTACGTGGCTTCACTGCTTACCTATATCCCAAACAGTGCTGTCTGGTGGCCCTTCTATCACTTCTACGCAGGTAAGCAGGGGCCAGGAAGGTGGGATTACTGGGGGAGCTGAGACTGGTACTCTGTGCACATTGGCGTGGTGGTGAGATTGAATGGGTCGTTCATTCAGCAAACATTTAAATCCAAGAGAATTCAAAGATGTATAAGACATGGTTCTTGCCTTCAAGGAGCTTATTCTATAGTTGGGAGAAGGAGACAGGTAAAATAGATGACTAAACAGTATACAGTGTATGCTCTGGGTGCACCGGAATCAACTTAGATTACAGCAATATTGGTAGAACATTGGAATGTAGGGGAGGACAAAAGTTGTGGGATGTTTGGAATTTGAAGATGAAATTCATGAATAATAGTTTTGCTTTTTTTTTTTTTTGAGTTCGAGTCTCACTCTGTCACCCAGACTGGAATGCAGCGGCCCCTCCCGGCTACCGCAGCCTCGACCTGCTGGGTTCCGGTGATCCTTCCGCCTCAGCCTTCCAAGTAGCTGGAACTACAGGCGCACGCTACCACGCCCGGCTAATTTTCTGATTTATTGTAGAGATGAGGTGTCGCTGCCCAGGCGGGTCTCGAACCTATGGGCTCAGGCAATCCACTCACCTCAGCCTCCCAAAGGCGCGGGATTATAGGCTGAGCCACCAAGCCCGGCACCTTCATTTTTTACTAGCTCTGTTTCTTCTATTTAGCACAATCTGGAGTAGTTGGTATAAGTCAGCTTCCTGAATTCCACTCCTGAACCCTTGATGTTAAAAAAAAAAAAGCTTCCCAGGAAATGTGAACATTTTCTCTGAAGCCTTTCTTTAGCTTTCTCTCTTCAGTTATTTTATTTACAATTAGAGCTGCATTTTTCTAATATATCCAACATCTTATTTCCATTCCCAGAGTAACCTGTACAGAGCTCTGGATAGCCGTTCTGACTACTGGACCTCTTGATCTAGAAGACATCAACTTATGTCTGAAATTTTATTCAGTTAACTTTTTTTTTTTTTTTGGAGTTGGAGTCTCACTCTAGTTGCCCAGGTTAGAGTGCAGTGCATACTCACAGCCACTGCGGCTTCGATCTGCTGGGCTCAGGCGATCCTTCTGCCTCAGCCTTCCAAGTAGCTGGAACTATAGATGCACTCCACCATGCCCGGGTAGTTTTTGTGATTTATTGTAGAAATGAGGTCTCACCAAGTTGCCCAGGCTGGTCTTGAACCCCCTGGCTCAGGCAGTTCTCTCACCTCAGTCTCCCAGAGTGCTGGGATTACAGGCTGAGCCACCGTACCTGGCCTCAATGAACTGTTCTTCATCCCAAGCTGACTCTCCATTCTGACTTACTTTCATCTGTCAGTGGCCTTTTTATTCTCCAGATCACTGAGACTGAAGACTTGGGGATTGTGCTTGACCCCTCCCTTTTCCCTGTCCCCACATTTAGTCCTGGTGACTCTAGAATGTCTCTCCCAACTTAAAAAATTAAAAAAAAATTTTTTTATTTTATAGGCCAGGTGAGGTAGCTTATACCTGTAATTCTAGCACTTTGAGAGGCAGAGAGGAGAGGATTGCCTGAGCTTAGGGGTTTGAGACCAGCCTGAGCAACACAGCAAGACCTCGTCTCTACAATAAATCCAAAAATTAGCCAGGCATGGTAGCCCATGTCTGTGGTTCTGGAAGACTGAGGCTGGAGGATCACCTGAGCCCAGCAGCTGGGCAACAGAGTGAGACTCCAACTCAAAAAAAAAAATTAGCCGGGCTCGGTGGCTCAGCCTGTAATCCTGCGCCTTTGAGAGGCTGAGGTGAGTGGATTGCCTGAGTCCGTGGGTTCGAGACCCGCCTGGGCAGGCGAGACTTCATCTCTACAATAAATCAAAAAATTAGCCGGGCGTGGTAGCGCGTGCCTGTAATTCTGGCTACTTGGAAGGCTGAGCG